CGTCATACTGCTTTCCACAGTGGTTGTACCATTTTACAGTCCCACCAGCAGTGTATGACAGTCCCAGTCTCTCCATATCCTTGCCAGCATTTGTTATTTTCTGTCTTGTTGAACTTTGCTACTAGTGCTGGAGCAAGATGGTATCTCATTGTTGTTTTGATTTACATGTATCTAATAGCTGATGATCATGAGCATTTCTTCATATGTTTGTTGGCCTCTTGACTATCCTCCTTGGTAAAGTGTCTATTCATGTCTTCTGGGTTGGCAATTTTTTTAATTTCAGGGTTTTATATATGTCATCCTGTTGCCTTCTCACTTACATTATTTTTGCCAAGAAATCAGAGCTTAATCTTATTGGTTGTCCTTTGTAGGTAACTTTTTGTGTTTTCCTGTGCTGCCTTCAGAATTCTTTCTTTGTCTTTGTCTTTAGAAAGTTTTATTATGATGTGTCTTAGTGATTTCCTTTTGGAGTCTATCCTATTTGGGGCATGTTGAAGTTCTTGAATGTGTATCTTTTCATTTGTCATCATATTAGCAAAGTTTTCTTCCACCGTATCTTCAAACGATTTTCTTTGTGGTTTTGTCTTGTTCTGGAATTCCAATCACACATAAGTTATTCATCTTGATACTGTCTCACATAAACCTTAGCTTTCTTCTTCTTTTTTTTTTTTTTTTTTTCTTTATTGATCCCATAATAAAGTAGTATTGGGAGATTTGTTTTGTCACTAATTCTGTTTTTCATTGATTCTGTTCTACTCCTTTGTCCTTTCAGTGTGTTATCTGTTTCTGAAACTTTAGTATTAATCTTCTGGATTTCTAGTTGCCATTTTTGTATGGTTTCTAATTTTTCATTTATTTTGTCAGTTTGTCCTTGTATTGTTTTCCTGAATTAATTCTAAAATTTTGTCCTTGTTTTCCTTGATCTGCCTCTCAGTCTGTTGAAGTTATTTAAATATAACTCTTTTGAATTCCTTTTCAGGCAGTTCCAATGCTGCTACTTCCTCAGAGAAGTTTTTTGGGTCTGAATTCTGGTCTCTTGTTTGTACTACTTTATCTTCCTTGTCTGAACTGGGATGATCACTTGTTTCTGGGACATTATGATGTTGTATTTATATTTTATATTTGTGATTGTATTGTTGGTGTGATTTTCCCCGCCCCCCCCCCCCCATTTTTTTTTTTTTAATATATTTGAGCTAGCCAGGCTAATATACTACTCAGTTTGCTAGTTTGGCAGCTCTCAGGCATTCACCACTTGTCTCCCAGTGGGTGTGATGGAGGATAAGAATGTGTGCTGAGACCTCTGTTAGCTGTTTGTGTAGAGTGGTTGAGGGCATGTTGGGCTGGTATTGATATCTGTTGTTGAACTGTTGGTGCAGAAACTGTTGGGGACCCTTGTCCAGTGGGTGGAGCTGTAGGAGGTATGGATGTGGTTGGGTCATACTGGTTCAGTTGCTGTCTCTCACCACGTGGGACAAAAATACAAAAAAAAAAAAAAACCCACCAAAAATAAATAAAAATGAGAACAAACAACACAAACAGTGTAAAAAAAGAAGAAAAAAAAAAGAACAAAAAGGAAAAATAAAAAAGGAAAAAAGACACACGAAGGACAATGAAGAAAAGGGAAAAAAACCACCAAAATCTGGGGAGGAGGAGAAAAAGGAAAGGGAGCAAGAGAAAAGGTATAGTAAGAAAAAATAAGAAAATGCAGAAAGAAAGAGAAGGGATGGGGAAAACAAAAACAAAAAGAAAAAGGGCAACTAGGAAAAGGAAAAACAGTAGGAACTAGGGAATGGAGTGAAGAGAAAAAATAAAAAGAACGAAAGGAAAGAGGTAAAGAAGAATAATTTAAAAAGGAAATAAAAATGGGGAGGGGGGAGTGGGGACAGGGCACCCAAGTGGTGTTCCTGCTGACTAAGCAGGTGGCAGGGAGCAGGGCATCTGGTCCTGGCACTAGTTCCTGCCTACCCACAAGGCAACTGGGGACAAAGTGCCTGATCCCAGACAAGAAAATGTATAGAGTAGGTCACCTGCACCTGAAAAACGTTCCTGCTAGCTCAAACAGCAGGAGGGAGCATGGTGTCTGGTTCCAGAAGGTATTCCTGCCAGACCAAACAGTAGCTAGGGACAGGGCACCTGGTCCCAGAAAAAGTTCCTACCAGCCCAAAAGGTGGCTGATAGTAGAGTAGCTGATCCTGCAACTACTCCCTGATACCCAGATGAGTGGTGACTCCTAGACACAGCATTCCATTTTCCATGGTTCTCAGAACCCAACTGGCCATATATTTTGATCAACATTTGACCTGATCAATTTCAGGACCTTATCCTTCTGGTCTCAATGGCTGTCACAAGGGAGGGGCACAGGTTACAAGCAAAATCAGCCAGATTATGAGAACTAGAAAAAGAAGCTCCATCCCCTGGAATTCACTGTCACATAAATCAAGTAATTCCCATTCAGCTCAGGTTAGTTGATGGTAAATTAATATTACGGGAGCTCTGGTAGCATAGTGCCTAAGGCACTTGACTG